ACTTAATTAATAAAAGGGTAACTAAGAATAAGAAAAAATACTGCTATAAGAAGTAGGCACTATCTTTAACCCTAAGAAAATACTATAGTAGTTAAATATAGTATAAAGAGAAAAGAGTGACTTAGTTCTAGATAGGACTAGCCTATCAAATTTTGAAAATATTAATTAAAAGATTTACTAGAATATTGTCCTCTATAGGATATATATAATTTTTATAATTAACACTTATAGGTTAGTATATAGGAGATACTATAGTACTAGAAGGGTTTTTATAAATAATACTAATCTAATTATATAAGATAGTAATTTAAAGATACACTAGTATTAGTTATATCTAGTATTTAATACTATATAATATTCTATTATTATTTATGTTATACTATCTATTAGGAAAGATATATAAGTCTTTATTAGGAAGTAAGAACTAGTTTGATCTAAATTATTATTAAAAGGGCTATTCTTAGGATAGTAACTATTATTAACTATATTATTATTATTATTATTTTTATTAAGTACTAAGATTTCTTTTCCCTACTTTATTTTCCCTTCTTTATCTTTATCTTTATCTATTTCTATTTATATATTAGAATTATCTTATTATGCTAATTTATTCTCTAATACTATATCTATCTATTCTATTTATTTTTCTATACTTTATTTTTCTATAGGAAAATAATCTCCCGAAATTATAGCTATTAATAATAGTAGAAATAATGGTAAATTTTCTAGTAATATAGTTATATCTATTACTGCTATAGAATAATTTACTTTGTTTCATAAACTACTTCCTAAAGCTTCTAGATCAACTATCAGTAAACTCTTTAATCCTATAAGTTCTAAAGCTACTATAACACCCTCTTAACTAGTAATATCTTTGTAAGATTCTATACTACTAATTTATTAGTATACTATTCTACTCCCTTAACTAATATATTAAATAATATATAGTATAATACTAGTTCTAAAATCTTAAGAAGTTCCTACTTTTAATAAAACTAATATATTAAATTTCCTAAGAAAACTAGAGAATACCTATTATTATAATAGTATTATCTAATATAAGGTGATTATAGATCTTCTTTCCTAAAACTACAAAAGATTACTATATATCTAGATAAAAGATTAGGTTATATAGAAGATAAGAGAATAAAAGGTATTTTATAAGAACTTTCTAGACTACTATTATGACTAGGATAATAAGTAATTAAACTATAATAAGAGATACTTTTAAAGTTTACTAGTAGTAATCAGACTATTAATAATAAGATTAGGTATTATATAAGTAAATTTTATAAGATTTCTACTAAGATATTCTTACTTAGTTATCTAAGTAACAATAGATAGATAAATTTACTAATTAAAGATACTAAAGTATTATACTCTAAAAACTTATTTCTATAGTAATAAGATCTCCTATAATAAAGTATATAAGTAAGTTTAGATAAACTTATATACTAAAGTAGATATTTATTATAAGATTAAAAGAAAAGAAACTAAGTATACTTTTATAACTAAAAGATAATTATTATCTATATCTCTATATTCCATTACTCTCTCTATTCCTACTATCTAACCTACTTCTATTATAGTATCTAATAATCAATAGGGAGATTATACTTTAAAAGTAATTAATAATATAGTCTAAAAACTAGAAACTCTTATACTAAAGCTAGATATAAGAACTAACTATTAGAATAATCTTTTGTATAAGTAAAATTACAGAATACTATTAAATAGTATAGAAGTTAACTCTTCTAGGGAATAATAGATATATAAAGACCTATATAATAGTATATCTAAATAATATAATACTATTTAGGACTTTAGGGTAAAAAATATAATTTATTATAATAAGATAACTAGTTAATTAACTCTAGGAACTAAAGTAAATCTAGGTCCTAAACTAAGACTATAAATAGGTATTCTAAGAAAAGACTTAATTCCTAAATAATATACTATATAGGTCAATTTAAATATATAATACTATAGTAATAATTATATCTAATTAATATCTTTAGTACTAACCGGTCCCACATTAAATTTCTCCAATATTAATTGGACCCTCGCTTACGAGGGTCGGACACCCAAATGACAATGTGCCCCTAAATGACACTTTTTTACCATTCCTACATTTAATACTACGATATACCACACAATACTATATATACCACTTAATTGCATATAACCATATATAATATAGCGTATAAAGTGCAATATATTAAAATTTCAGCGCCGTAGACGCTGCCCTGAACGCCGAGATTTACGCTTCAATTCCTCCATAACCTTGCGCTATTTAGGGTGTACTTTGTCAATTGCTTCTAATTCCGTCAATTTTTCCTTATCTCGCTTTATTTTTTGTAGATTCTGAGCCGATACAATACCTTGTGTACGAATACCTGACCTTGAAAGGTTATATCGCTCATCGCGACGTAGTGTAGTAGCTTTTGTTGCTTCCATTTCCCGTCGTACTTCCTTTAATTGGTATGTAGCTAACTGTGCTGACTTTGCAAGCTTTTGAATAGCTATTGTATAGTCATGTATATCTTTACCACTTCGAAGAAGCTCCTTTTAAGCTTTTGAATCTTCTGAATAGTTGTTGGTGTACTAAAATTGGATGAGAGTGATGAGGTTGAAGATTCAGATTTGTTTGGTGATAGGGGTAATTTAGTACGTTTAGGTATATAATTAACTATTTTATTACATATAATAGTAGGATTAAATGGCCAGATACTAGATAACTGATATCTAAGCTTGATTGTACGTAACGTAAAGGTTTTTGTGCGGATTGAAGTAATTGTAGTAAGAAAATCGACTTTCTGAAACTTTGTATATCTAGTAGCAGTTGTAGCCTCAATTGCTTTACTGTGGTAGTATTTATAGATATTGAATATACTAACGTCTAATGGCTGAACTAAATGTGAAGTATGGGTGTTTAAGAAGAAGGGTTGAATAGCTGAAGCTTCGCAAAATTTGATAAATTTATACTTTAGATATGAACTAAAACCGTTGTAGATAAGCAACTGCCAGGATCCTTTAGTGTGTAAATGTGTAGATTTTTTAAACATTTGAATCCACTGATATACAAGTAGATTATTTATATAGCCAGTTTTAGTTACAGCAATTCTTTCGTTATCCTTAAGGTCCTTAAACCAGTGATATTGAATTTGTTTTGTGGCTAAAATAATCAACGGTAGGACGGTAAAACTATCCGTTGATATAGCCTCAACAACAGTTATATATTTACAATTTGTATGGTTTCTAGAAATAATTTTTCAACGTAGCTCTTGTGTAACAATCTACTGATCTTTGCCAACCCCAATCTAAAAGCCTATTTCGTCGAAATTGTAGATATCCTTAGGTTGAATCCCATATTTTTTAATCATACGCTGAAGGCTTTCAAACCATTCCTCTATAGACTTTTTAGTATGTGTACGAAGCCGTTTAATATCAAGACTTTTGTGCCTGCGTACACGATACTCAGGGTGTCGATCAAGAAAGTGTTTAAGCCATTTGTTACCGATTGTAGCTGTATCAGGTTCTGTTTCTTGTAGAATTGACAGAGCAGCTGTAGCAATCTCAGAACGTTTTACTGACAATCCAAGATTATCATTATAATCAATCCAATGACATAGAGCTTCCTCTTGTATAGAATTGAGCTTGCGACCGTTAGGTTCTCGTTCAAATAGCGAATTAGTACCCTACACGCGGCGAAGAAGCCGTCGATATGGCACGTCAAATTCACGCGTAATTTGTGCGTAATTCGGCCGAGATTGCAGGAGTGCTTTTTCGTATGCTTGCTGAATACGGTGCTCAATTTGCTTATTGGTATCTGCCATATTGGTGGTGTAGCGATGCGACAAAGTTAAAATATAATATTTTCATGCAAAGTGTTATTTGGGGGCACATTGTCATTTAGGTGTCCGACCCTCGTAAGCGAGGGTCCAATTAATATTGGAGAAATTTAATGTGGGGCCGGTTAGTATAGTTTTTAGGTATATTTCTTAATTGTATACTAAATAATAATTATTATACTACTCTAGTTTAGACCTGGCTACGACCCTCCGCATGGGTCCCTACCCCAGAACCTCGAACCTCCCCTCTTGAGGGGAGGTTCCAACCTTCCGACCCTCAACCTACCCTGAGGATCGTTGAGGTTCAGTATGCGGACCCTCGGCGACCCTCAACGACCCGCATTTGCATAAATTTTCGACGCCTTACCTCTTTCGGTTGCATAAAATTGATGATTCATCTATGTTTTTTATAGCTGTTCCGTCAATTTGTAGATATTTTACTGAATACTCCATCAATATAGCGAATTATAAATAAATATTCATGTAAAAGTAAACCGTAGACATGGTCACCCACAGATTACAAGTAATATTTGATGATATCGATATAGGGGGTGGTCAGTGGCGGTTGTCGACAAAAATGCATGTAAAGTTGTAAATATATATATTGCAGATAGTGTAACCTATGTGTATCTTCATTTGTAGAACCACTGTTTTTTAAGAAAGCTATAAAAACGTGGTTCAAATAACCTCATTTTTACATCATTTGAGCTGTTATATCTTCTTCTATTACTTTTTCTTCAAGAATTCAGGACAAATAATCTAAATATGTTGTAAATCCGGTTCAAAGATTGCAATTATTGGACTTGGTCGTTCTGATCAAGACTTTTTCTCAACTTGAGGGTCTCTTTTGAGGGTCGATGCGGGTAGTGAGGGTCCCCTTGAGGGTCGCTGCGGGTAAGCGAGGGTCTATTTGAGGGTCGCTGCGGGTAAGCGAGGGTCTATTTGAGGTTCATTGAGGTTCGTTTATTATGCTAGCCAATCAGATCTAGCTATGTGGAAACAAAAGATGATAGATCAATTCTAGCATATAGAACAGGGATGAACGGATGCCCCAAGAATCTTGCGTATCTTTTTCTACAAATTAAACAGTAAGTTCCTCACTCTCTTCTTCCTCAGTCATAGTACTATCTTCTAGTTACTAAATCTGTCATGTCGCAGCTCTCCGATGTCTACGCATCATCTAGCTTCGATGGGGTGCAATTAGACACGCTACAATACCTTGTTCCTAACGATTCCCTATCCCAACGCGAAAGCCAGAGTCAACTACTATCCGAAAGTCAGTTTGGATCAGTTCCAGACCTTCCAGACCTTCCAACCCATCGATCGCGCGTGGCACCTCAGGCCCCAGACACTCTTACACGAATCAAACCAGACCGTATCAACGAGTACGTTGTCTTTACAACTACAATGACCGCAGAATTTATTCAGTGGTGGCTTGAAACCGACTTTGGTAAGAAGAAGCGGATCAACTGGGATATGAACCGTCGTGCAGAGTGCTGGAAAGGGTTTCAACAAGTTGCAAATACCAAAGATAGGAAGCCAGGCGTTATATGCAAACGGTGCCGTACAATTCTTGAGCACCCAACTACCAACCATACTGGAACCTCATCGATGCAGAAACATCTCGATGGGCTAAGGTGCCGACAGCGAATACCGAAGAAGGGTAATATCCAGCAACTACTTAGTGACGCGGTATATTTGAACCAGCCTATATTTAATATCAATACTAATACTATTTTCACTATTATTTAGGCTGAGAGAAGACCAGCGCCTACCTTTACCCAGCAAATATGGGAGCAGAAGATCCTAAACCTGATCACTGTATCGTATTTACCCTTCCTATTTGTCGAACATCAAGAATTCCACGACCTCCTTTCCTACGCACGGCTAGCACCCACACTACCAAGTGTTCCATCAAGAAAGGTGATTCGTGAGCGCCTTCAGGATTTTGTTATAGAACATCAACAGGAGACACTACAACGGCTTCCATCTAGTGCAAGAATGTCGATTGCGCTTGACTGTTGGACTTCTCCATTCCAGCAAGCATTCATGGCTATCACAGGATACTTCCTAGACCAGGAATGGGAGTATCGCGAGGTTCTCCTTGGGTTTGAGCCAATATCTGGATCTTATACTGGAGTGAACCTCGGTAGGGTTGTTCTCTAGATCCTAGAGAAGCACCAGATCGCTGACCGTATACTGGCGGTGACAACTGATAATGCGTCTAATAATAAGACACTTATCGCAGCGGTGAATGATTCGACTAAGACGCTACAGCAAGAGACAGATTCTACAATTGTCCAAGTGCCCTGCCTTGCGCATATTATTCAATTGAGTCTAACTAATTTACTTGGTAAAATTAAGGCCGCCCCGAAGAATAACAACACCGAGACGGAATGGTCTGAAGATCGTGTACATTCACTTCGTGCACGCCAGCAGAAACATGAGATCGCTGATACTCTAAATAAGGTAAGCTTAAAGCTTCTATTTACGAATCATAATCCAATAACGATAATAATCCTTATAGGTTTGCGGCCTTACAGTTTATATCAACGGAAGCCCTCAACGCAAAGAAGCCTTCTTGAATCTTCAATCTAATAATGCTGGGATAAGGCTTCTCCTAATCCAGGATGTCCGTATACGATGGAATTCGACATTTCTGATGCTTCGGCGGGCGAAAAGACTTCATGATATATTCGACAAGTACTGCAAGGACTACACCCAAACCTATTTTGTATTGAGTATTGAGGGGTGGCGGTAGATTGACTATCTACTTTGTATTCTCTAGCCCTTTTTTACGCTTACTACGCTAGTTTGTCGTACTAAAGACTCGAGTATCCACCTTATCTTTAGGATTTATAACAAGCTTTTTGATCATCTTGAAAGATCAATTCGTTAGCTTCGTCGAAAGAAAGTTCACTGGAAACAGCTGATACTTTCCTCCCTTGAGGCTGCGAAGGAGAAACTGAAGAAATACTACGGTGAGACAGATGATATCGAAGGTAATCTTTATGCAATTGGGACGATCTTAGCGCCATCAAGTAAGATGGAGTTCTTTTCAACAGGTGATTGGGACCTAGATCCTGAGATAGGAAAGGACTATAGAAAAGAATACTGTAAGAGTCTTTAGTCTCTTTTCGAGAGATATAGCCAACGTGTACCATCAGATATGATACAGCCTAATAGCCAGTTATTAATAACTGAATCGGAGCTAGAGAGGGCCCTTGACGGTGATTCTTCACCACGATCAATTACTCCACAGTACGACGAGCTCACCAAATATCTCCAGAGTGGTAAGTAAATAAGCCTATGTGATGAATCATATAACTAACCTCACCTGATTAGATACTATTAAAGGATCTGTTCGGATCTTCTGGAAAGATCATCAGAGAGAGTTCCCTGTTCTTGCAAGCATTGCCCGTGATATCATGTCAATTCCAGCAACTGGTGCCGGAGTTGAGCGTCTGTTTAACTCTGCTCGGGATGTATGCCACTACCGCCGGGGGTCGTTGAATCCAGAGACTATTCGTGATATTATGTTGTACATGTGTACAACAAAATTTGATATTGAGGAGGAGCAGCGGCTGATTCTCCAAGAGTATCTCTTAGACCATGAGATAGCAGCTTCGGCAGAAGCACTTGATGTCCAGACACATACCTTCGAGGCTATCAGTGATGACGAGGAGGAGGATATTGAGTTGCGTCTTGATACACCGGCTACTGTATCAATTATGCAAACAACCCCAAACGTACCGCCACTCTCAGCGGTTGCCGCTGGAAAGCGGCCTGCGGTCACTTCTGGTGATGAGGAAGATTCTGATGCCGATGGATTTGTGAACCCGGAGGAGAACCTATTATTATCCTTCCCTAATACGCAGTATCGTGTATCAGGTAGGATACGGAAGAAGTCGAGACTACTGGATGGGTATATAGTTTGACTCTTGGCTTGTTAGAACTATGACTAGACACTATGCTATAGATGTAATGTAAACCATTCAAAAATTAAACCCCTATTCGAGGATGAACCTATGGATGCAATAAGGAGTGTATCCTCCTGTAAGGCTATACAATGATGAAGTTTTTAGTTTACAATTACAATGAAATACAGCTTGTTTCTACATAATTTATGCAATTGACGCCCAGTCACGTCTTTTACCTGTTTGTTATGTTTGACGACCCTCAGGGTCCCCGCGGGTAACCCTCATGAGGGTCGGCCTGGGTACAACCCTCCCCGCGGGTCCAGGTCTCGGACCCTGACCCTCCGCATGGGGAGGTGAGGGTCAGGGTCGTGGAGGGTACCCGCGGGTTCTAGCCAGGTCTACTCTAGTTTATTATATTACTATATCTCTTCTTATATCTAAATCTATAAAGGGAAAGTTATTAGAAGATAAGAAAGAATATAGAGAAATATTAGATAGGGTTAGTTAATACTATCAGAGATTAGGTCTAGGATAGTTATATTAGACAGAGGAAATAGTATATATCTAAATATATATATACTAGAAATACTTAGTAAGGCTATTTTTAACTAAATATTAAGAAAGCTAATAAGAATAAACTAATACTTATACTAGATAATATATAGGGAATATCTTAGAAACCAATATTGTAAGGCTTTCCTACTAAAAGTCTATCTCCTAATATAGTTCTATATTATACTAGAGGGCTATAAGATCTAGTTATAGTTGAAAAATAATCTATAATTACTAATTTGATATTACAAAAGATTTAGAAGACTTGTATTATAATCTCTATTGGTGAACTGTTTGGGGTTATATCCTATATTTAAGTTAGTATCAGAAAAGATATTAGTACTAATACTATAAGTCAGAAACTTTAAAGATTATTAATTAAGTACCTATTAATATTACTACTATAGATCTATCTTAATATATTAATACTTAGATTTAGGATCTGTAGAAGAAAGCTTATTCCTATTTTATGTTATTTAGTCCTAATTATAATATTTTGGTTTTCCTAGTTATTAGTTCTTTAATTAATTTCTAACTAGTTTAAGTTATTAATATCTCTATAAAGTTACCCTAGAAATATATACTAAGATATCTAATACTAAAATAGTAGACAACCAAAATATATCAATTTAGAATATCTTTACCCTAATAGATAATATAGTAATATAATATATTAAAATAAATAAACTAATCCTAACTAGTATGACTATCTAAAAAAAAGAGAATTTATACTATTAAGTAAATATTTAATACTCTATAAAGAGTAATATTTCAGAAAAATATAATATTATGCTCTTTTACTATAGAATACTAATTACTATATATAATATACTTAGTAATAGAATCTACTATCTCTTTAACTATATTAGTTTAGTAGAACTATAGAAATACTACTATAATATCTAAAAAGAAATCCACCTATAATAGGAAAAAGTAGCTAAGCTATAATAGTAAAAAATAAAAGATATAAAAACTATTAAGAAAATTTAATAGTAAATTTTAATTAAATAGAAAAACTATGATTTTATAGGTAAAAATACTATTAAATTCTTTTAATAGATAAAGAACTAAGTATTTACTAAAAAATTTAGTAAGTTCTTAAATACTAATGTATTCTACTAGAAAGTTAAGTTATCTATTAATAACTATATTATTAGAAGATATACCTTTAGAAAAGAAAGTAGTGCCTAAAAGACTAAATATCTAGAATATAGTAACTTAGTTAAAATCTACTAGAATCAAATTCTATTATCTATTCTTTAACAGTATCTTAACCAAGTAGATCCCTAGATAGACTAGGATAGTTTTATTTATCTAATAGATAAAGATTTCAATCTTCTAAGAATTAAACTAAGAGTATATACTCTACTCCTATCTTCTAAAAAGAGTACTTCCCTATTAGAAAATACTACTATAGTTACTGATAAAATAGAAGACTATAATATAGAGGAAGAAAAGAATATAAATAGTAGTAGAATATCTCTAATTAGTTCTACTTTACTAATAATTATAATAATAGATAATATAAATATATAAAATAGAGCTTAGAAAGTAATAAAGAGATATAGAAGGTCTCTTCTACACTATAGGAAATTACTACTATAGTTGTTAAAGAAAGTAACAAAGAAATAATTATTCCTACTAAAAAATCTATAAAATATAGATACTTACTATATTCTATAACCCTAGTATATATTCTTAAAGTATAGGACTTCTTAAAGTAGAAAAATAGTCTAGTTATATTATATAATATTAGGAGAAAATTAATAAGTTTTAGAGATATCACTATTAATACTCTTTATAGTAGGTATACTAAGAAATTAATAGAAACTCTATAGATGATAAGTATGTTAAAGAATTACTAGTAGTTAGTAAGCTAAGTTACCCTATTATATAAAAAATATTAGTAACTAGAATTAGTTTATAAAAAACTACCTTTACTAGTTTAGTTTCTAGCAGAAAATTAGTCTTAGTTTCTATTATTTTAAACTATAATACTATATACTACTAGTCTCTAATTTCTCTACTACTATAGAATAGTTAACTGCTAATAACCTAATTAACTAACTCTATATAGAAGGTACTCTAGATATCTATCCTTAGAAATATATATATAATAATAGTACTACTATACTATCTAGTCTCTTTTTATAACTTAGAGAAAACCTTAATAGAGAATATCTTAAAGGACTATAATTACTAATATACTAAGAGTTCTAAACATACTATTACTATTTAAGTAAGAAAATAACTAAGGTTAGGTAGTTTTATAGTATATAGTATTTAAATATCTAGTAACTAATCTAATAGAATCTCTTCTATAATATAGTCTATATCTTTTTCTGACTTAATTATATATAGTACTTAATCTCCTACCCCTATTAAACTAAAAGTATATAACCTAGTAAGAATACTAAACTCTAATATCTGGATATTAATATCTAGGATTATCTTAAGACTAGATAGGGTAATAATATCCTATAAGAATCTATTTTTTTACTTAGAAGAATAAAAAAATTATACTATCCTATCAAAAGGAATATATAAAAATAGATAGCTTTTAGATTAGTAAAAAGCACTAAGATATATAGTTATATTTCTAATAGATTTATTATCAGTATTAAATCTTATATATAGATAAAGATAGATAAAGAGAAGTATAATACTAAACAGACCTATAAAATATATAGTATTAGTAATATCTATCTTTTTCTTTCTTTTCTGCTATATAGATTAACTAGATCCTCTACTACTATCAGATAAATAGGACTTTAGATAGTATATCTACTTATCTAAAAATATTATATAATATATAAAGTTATCATATATTTTTGATGTTATAGGGCTACCTATGTCACTATAAATTCTTTCTCCTTTTTATAAAGGATATTATTATTTAAAATTTTATTTATATATTTTTTGCCTTAGATTTCAGGTAGATATCACAGTTTCTTAAGGCATTATATAGACTTTTATCTAAAAGTTATATCTTTCAATATATATTTTAAAGTCTTAGATCCTATATAGCCAAGTCTTTTATACTAATTATTTATTTCTATATCTTTATCTTCAAGATATATAATCTTATTCTAATATTTATTATTTAATATCTCTATGGGATATAGTATATTCATATTAGTTTTATATAGTGTATCTTTATTGCCTTTTATTATTGGTCCTTTATTACTATATATAAACACTATTTTCTTTGAAAATAGATAGGCCTTTTAGCCTATTAATGCTTAATATATTAATATATAATTTAGATATATATAGCATATTGTGTATTATATATATATTATTCAGGTTTATTTGAATAATAATAGTTCCTCTATATTTATTGGTATTTTGAGTGCTTTTCCCTAGTTTTATATTTTATTTACTGCTCTTTTATAACAGAAATAATTTATATTTATAACAACAGAGATAGTAGTAGCAGTATTAATAATAAAATTATAAACAGGTCTAATCTGATAGGGTAATTTACCTAGACAAACTTTATTATTTATAAGTATATTATTATGGGGTTATTTAGACTTATATTTCTATCAAGATCTAGTAGAAGATTGTCAATCCCTATATTAATATCCTAACCAGGTATAGTATCAAAATTATCTAAATCAGATAGAATAGTATCAATAATAGTAATATCTTATTATTTTTTTATGTATCTTATTTATATTATTTGTGTTATTTAATTTCTACAAATTAGGATATTTCTTAGGATATAAGAAGTAATAATCATTAATGTTTTAATTAATTTTATAGTAGCTTTTACATAAATTTCTATTAAAAGGTTTTTTCTTTTTGCTTATTTTGTTATTCTTATCATTTTATTTGTAGAAAAGGTTATTAATACTTTGAATAATAATATTATATTTGCTATATAATTTATTAATAAGTGATTTAATTAATAAAATAATAGTGTATACCTTAGGATTATTATATAGTAATTATATAATATTTTATATAAAGTCTGAATAGTCTTTATCTAAACTATTCAAAATCCAGGTAATAACTACCTAGTTAGTTAGTATAATATTCTTAGATTTAAGGTTATCAATAAGTAATTTCACCTTATTAAAGTATTACTCTATAGTATAAAAATTACCTAAAGTAGTATTAAAAAATTCTTTTAATACTAGGAATTGAGTAGTAAAACCCTTAGGGTTAAATAGCTCCTTTGGTATATTATATAACTAAATATTATTAGTCTTATTCTTCATATATAATAAAGGATTGTTATCATAAAGTAGCTTAATAATAGCTAGTATTTTCCTGTTCTTGGCAAGGGCGATTATAGTTTTATGTAATATTATTCTATTAGGATCTAGGGTATTAAACCCTAGGTCTTCCTCAATTAATAATGTATAAGCCCTAATTAACTATATAATAGATTTTTTAATACCTAAGAGCTTAGACACCTTAATTTTTGAAAGATTTGAGATTTTTGATATTTTTAATATAACCCTAAGGCTTTAGGGTTTTC